AGGGGCCCCAAGAGGGCCCCTATAAGAGGGGCCCAGGCTCACCCCGGCGCGCCCGGCAGCTGCAGCAGGCATGCCGTGTGCCCACGGCGGGGCGGGCGGCTTTTGGCCGTCTTCGGCCTCGGAGGGGCCCTCGCCGGGCCTCGGGATCGTCGAGAAGCGACTCGGGGCGACGCGGGGTGCTCCCCAGACCCCCTTCGGGTCAGGAACAACTCACGGCTGGAGGCTTTCGCTGTTTTCGGCCTCTGGGGGCCCGGATCGGGCCCCGGGACCGTCAACAAAAAACAGCCCGGGATGACAAACGGGCCCCCCCAAAAGGGGGTCGAGACCTCCGGGGATCGAGGTTGCGACAAAGTCCTGGCGCCGGGGGTGTGGGTCCCGCGAGGGGGCGGGCGGGGGACCCTGGAGTCCGCGCCGGGCCTCGGGCTCCGCCTCGGTCAGGAGGGGCAAACAGACACAGGCACCATAGCAAGGCTGAACGACTTTCGAAGGTGCCCCTTGCATCCTTCCTTCTCGGCCCATCTCTGGCCCCTTCAGCTGGCCGCGCCCCGCTCGCAAAGTGTCCGCATGGCCGTCCAATGCCCTTGTATCCTTATCGTGTGTCCGTATTCTACGGGTTGACTGGAATTGTCGGTTCCCGCAAGCGTGTGGGATCAGAGGGGGATGTATGGGGGATACGAGCACCCAAAGCATGTGGAGAAATATGAGGCACCCTGGAACTTGTGCCTCTTTGCTTGTGTCTCCCTGGGCCCTTTCACTCGGGCTCGCGCTTGCGCTTCGGCTCGCGCTCGGACTCGGGCTCGGGCTCGGCGGGCTCGGAATCGCGGTCGGGCTCGGGCAGCGAGCCCAACGGTTTTTGTTCCACTGGTTCTGTCCTGCACTTTGCTCTCCGGTTTGGGCGCTGTTTTTTTTATCCAGTCCCGTCGCCGTTTTTTACGTTTCCGGCTCCCGCTCCACTCCTGGAGCAAGTCCTTGTCTCGAGGAACAGCTGTTTTGCGGGTTCCAGATTCCAGGGGTAATTTTTGGATCACGGCAGCAGAACGGTCCTGCCGTTTCCGGGGCCCATTCAGACCAGGGCCCCCTTCCCTCATGCCGCTCGGGCGGACGGCAACAGCGCGCGGGCAGTAAGCGTCGGGGGACGGAGTGAGGAGCGCAGGAAGGTGGCCCTCAAGGGGCCCCGGATGTTCCCCTGACCTGCCGCCACGGGCCCAAGACGTGCACGAGAGGCGCACGTTTCCTGACCCCTCCCGCCCATGGAGGAGCAAAAAACGGCATACACATAATTTCCTGGTGATCCGCGTGGATGTCTCGGATCGGCGCTGGACCCCCCACCCTGGCGCCCGGAGCGCGCCAGGGCTGGAGGCGCAGCCAGAGGGGGCCCAACGCCGATCCAAGAATCTACGACCAAATGCGAATCCTACCCCTGCTGGTCCAATGTCCAAGCGACGCTGGGGTAACAGACACCCTCCCTGAGGTTCATTTGGCTGCAGACATCCTTCAAATTCTGAACTCCAGCCGGGGTTTTCAGAAATCCAGCCAACGTATGCAGGGGTAGGGTTCACAGCCTGAAGAAATCCGCGCGCAGGTTCACGTGTGCCTGCCTGAAGAGATCCGCGCGCGGCACAGGGAAATGTTGCTTCTGGAGCTTCTTGCTCCTCGAGCTCATGGCCCTCCTCGCCCGTTGACGAACGCCCGAGGCACGGGCCCCGGCGCTCCTCCTCCTCCTCCTCCTCCTCCCTTTCCTCCTCCTCCTCCTGGCCCTGCCTCCTCGGGGCTCCTCCTGGCCCCCCGGCTTCCGGTCGCGAATTCGGCAACGATCGAGCGAGCCGTCGACGTCTTCGAAACCCTCGCTTGGACCCCGACGCGCCGTCTCGTCGTCAGCGAACTTCGACCCGCCTCGGTCGCGACCGAAATTCGGCGCCCCCGAAATCCACGACCAGGAACTTTCAGTCGCAGGTGATCTGGGCTCCCAGGGCCAGCTCTTCGCCCGTCGTCTTCGGACAAGCCCGCGGCCAGGGGAGGGCTCCGGGGAGGCCAACCGCGGCGGAAAACCTCAGGACCCATTTCCCTCATGAGGACGCCAGGGGCAACGACAGGGGGGGTCTGGCGGCTCGCGGAGGTAGCGCATCGAGCTGGAATCGACGGTGCATCGCCGATAGATCGGTGAAGTGCCCTCGACAGCTCTCGAGATGACCTGGGAACGGGGCGCCGAGGCCATACTTTTCTGGGAGGGGGGTGGGGGGCCGGCAACGAGATCGGGCCTGCGGGCTTCCCGGCAGGGGCGCCTGCTCGGGGAGGGCCCCCAGGGTGAGGAGAGCCCACCACCATCATCACCATCATCACCATCAGCACCATCAGCACCATCATCATCATCATCATCATCATCATCATCATCATCATCATCATCATCATCATCATCATCATCATCATCATCATAATCATCATCGTCATCAGCATCGTCATCATCAGCAGCAGCATCATCATCAGCAGCATCATCATCATCGTCAGCAGCATCATCATCGTCACCATCATCATCATCATCATCATCATCGTCGTCGTCGTCGTCGTCGTCACCATCATCAGCGCCACAATCATCATCACCATACTCATCATCATCATCACCACCATCATCATCGTCCCTATCATCACCATCCTCATCATTTTTATTACTAGTGACATTCTGATTATCAGAAGCATCATCAGCATCGTCAGCATCATCATCATCATCATCTCGATCATCGACATCATCATCATCATCATCATCATCATCATCATCATCATCATCATCTCCATCATCGTTATCATCTTCGTTATCAGCATCTCTGCAAGCATTGTAATCATCATCATCAACATCGTAATCAGCATCACCATCAATAGTACCGTCGCCATCATCATCATCATCATCAGCAGCAGCATCATCATGATCGTCATCATCATCATCATCATCATCATCATCATCATCTTCATCTTTAGCATGATCATCATCCTCTTCCTTCTCCTCCTCTTCCTCGTCATCATCGTCATAACCATCATCAGCATCATCATAATCATCATCGTCGTCGTCGTCGTCCTGATCGTCATCGCCATCATCATCGTCATAATCAGCATTGTCATCGTCATCGTCATCATCAGCATCATTGTCATCGTCAGCATCATCATCGTCATCATCATCATCACCATCATCATCATCATCATCATCATCATCATCATCATCATCATCGTTATCATCATCATCATCATCATCATCATCATCATCATCATCATCATCATCATCATCATCATCATCATCATCATCACCAGCACCACAATCAAGATCGTCATCGTCATCGTCATCGTCCTCATCATCCTCGGGCACTGTCCGGCGGTTGGCAGGATGGAATCGACGAGGTCCCCAACAGATGCAACATACATCCATCCGATTCCTGTTCCCACAACTCGGAATGATCGTGTCCCCGGGGGGGGGGGGGCATGACCCGTCCCCGAGAGCGGGCGTTGAAACAAATATTGCAGCATCGCCAGAAGTCACCACCAGAACCCCAGACCTCGTCTGTCTGCGCCATTTTTCCGAGCCGGATCGAACTGTGAGGGTCTCGGGGCCCGAAGCAGGGCAAGAACGCCCGGCATTCAACAATCGCATCGCCAGGATCTCAGGGGCAGGCGGCGACGGTGGGGGGCCAGCCTGGGCCCCGCTTGGGGCCCGGTCGGGGCGGCCCGGCCCAGGCCGCGCAGCAAAAACTCGTTGCCGCACAAGCTCGACGCGCTCGACGCGGCTCTGGGCTTTCTGGCGCGGGTCTCTTCAGCCGGAGCGGCCCGGGGCGGCCCAGGCAAGCACTGTGCCGTCTACTGGGGCCCGGCTCGGAGGTGGGCCGCGCGCGGCGTGCTCTGGGCTTTTTGGCGTGGGTCTTTTCAGCTGGGGCGGCCCAGGGCGGCCCAGGCAAGCACTGTGCCGTCTGTTGGGGCCCGGCTCGGAGCCCGGGCCCAATTTCTCATGGCGCTAACATCGCGCAGCGGATTCGTTCGGAAAACAACAGGGTGGGCCCGGGGTGTCCTGGAGAAGTTCGTTCCGCATTTCGAGGTGAATTTCGTGCGGTTTTCCTGTGGCCAGGAGTGAAGACCAAAAAGAATCCGCGCGACAGTCACTTCGTTTTTCGCTCGCCGCTTCGGGCAAAAATCCACACAGAAATCCGCTGCAGCACGTCTGCAAGGCCGGCGCAATGAAAGTTGCACAGGAAATCCGGGGCCTGCCAAGAGGGGGTGATGACTAGGAGTGTGGGGGGTATCAGGGCGGGGGCCATGGTATCTCGCCAGATCTCATGACCTCCTCTTGTTATTTCAATGCGTTCCCGGCCCCTCCCCCCTGGTCCGCGCACATGCCTCGAGCCACGATTTGCGAACACCCCTCTTGGACGCCCCCCTTGTTGGACGCCCCCGAGAAATGCGGTGCAATCAAAAAGGGCGGCGCGTACGGCAGGCTTCAGCCTCAATTTTTGGCGCTCCGCGTACCCCCATCAGCGTAACCCGCTCCTGTGCGCTCTTGTGCGGAATTGAGGCCGTTGCTCGTTAGCCGCGTTTCTGTACGGTGCCTGGCACCCCTGCGCGCTCGCGAACAAAAAAAGTATCCCCATCAGCCCATCCAGAAACAATGCCCACTAGAGTCTCTGGGATGAGGAGTTTGAGGGGGAGGAGGAGGAGGAGGAGGAGGAGGAGGAGGAGGAGGAGGTGGAGGAGGGGGAGGAGGAGGAGGAGTGACGCAACAAGCTCGTTTTTCATGTCTGTGGGAGGAGGAGAAGGAGGAAAGGACGGCAAGAGGGAGAGAATGATGGGCAGGAGGCGCACGCTGATGTATAGTTACGTGAGCCTCTTGGAGGGCTTTTGGGACCTTCTTGGGGCTCTCTTGGTGCTGTTTCGGGAGGCTTGGGGCCACCTTGAGGCGAATTTTGGCCCAGGCCCTGTGGCTCACAGGGGGTTCCGGGGCTATACTCCAGCTGCTCTTCTTTTGCACTCTCTAGCCGTTTTGGCCCAAGCCATTCTGGATGCACCCCGCGCGCATGGACGCATGGCCGCCACGATCCCAGAGCTCGCGCGCCACGACCCCGCGGAGTCGCCCGCCATGAGCCCGGACCTCTTCTGGCAGAAGCTCTCCGAGCTCGCTGCGGAGTATCTCGGCCAGCCGACCAAAGTCTACACATTGTTCATTTCTTAGTATTAGAAAGTTCTTCGATTTCTTAGGGGCCAAGATCCTTTGATTTCTACTTGTTCTCGCACAAGTTTCTCGAGCTGCGTCCAGGCGGGGCGACGAGGAGGGCCCCGAAAAGGCCACCACGCCTCGAGCCCCGAGCCTCGATGGTCCCAGCTCGAGCCTCGATGAGCCCCCCGCGGAGGTACGAGAGCCTGCACGCGAGCTCCGCCGACCGCGCGGGGAGCCGGAGCCCCGGGAGCAGCCCGTGCCGCAGGAAGCGCCCCAGCCTTGCGACAAGCAGCGCCGGCCTCCAGCCCATGACGCCGGCGACCTCGGCCGACGTCGTGTTCGCGCGCGCCCGTAGCGTCGAGAGCAGCCCCGCGCCGTCGTCCCGCGGCGACGGCGAGGGCAGCAGCACACTGGGCAGCGCACTGGGCAGGAGCCCAAAGGCGTGGCGGCGCGAACCGCAAGGGGGGCGGCGCGAGTGGATCGAGGTCTCGAGGTCGAGTCTTTTCGTGCGTCTGCGTCGGTTCTCGGCGGCCTTCCAGCCTCGGGATGCTGTCCAGCAGCTGCGCCTCGCCGTGACCGCTTTGCAGGGGTGACTGGATCGTCCCAGAAGGGCCGCGAGGGACCCGAGATATGACCGGCAAGCCAGACGCGCAAGGGGAGTGGGCGTCCTGGCTAATTAGAAGACGGGGGGCGCCTTAGGAGGCAGGGACACCTTCTCAGAGGGGCCTGGGAGCCTCCTGAGAGGACCTCTGAGAGGCCGGGAGATCCTCTGTGAGAGGCCGCCCGCCCTCTGAGAATCGGATGCCCCGAAGATTGGTGTGGTGACCACACAGCGTGGTGAGTCAGTGGGGGTTCGGGGCCACCGGCCCCAGCCACGTGCAGAGGAAGGTATGGGGGGAGGGAGGAAGGCTTCTTAGACGCACCCCTGCTTCTTGGAAGGCGCGGAGGCCGGCGCCTTCTAAGAAACAGCATCTTTCTAAGAAGCCTTCCCCCCTCTGCGCGCCGACAACGAACACTTTTGGGACTCGGATCGTTCTCCAAGAACGTCGCGGGCGACTACGGGGGCCGCCGAGGTCCCAAAGCCGTGCGGTCACGGACCGTGCGGTAATGTCTTTGGAGGGTTCGAGGTCACCGTACGATCCGTCACCGCACCGTTTTGGGACACCCGGGAGAAGCGTCCCCCGACCTCTTATATTTGAGGCGGGGGTCTATCCATAACCACCGCCTGGGGGATCGATCTGCGGGAACCTCTGGGGCCAACGCATACCCGTATGCACCGCCCCCTGGGGCGTGGGACATCGGTTCCGCCCTCTGGGGTCCCCTGGCGGTGGATAGTTATGGATAAATCCCCGCCTCGCACTGCGGTCGGGAACTTTTGCTTGGTGGGTCGCGCCGCCGAGTCTGGCCCACCACGCCACGGCGCGACACGCTAGCCACGTCCTGGTCCGCAGGCGTCGACGTCCCGAGCCTTCCCCCGCCCCATGGAGCAGAGCGACACGCTATCCGCCTGCATGGCAGAGCGTGTCGCAGAGGCCGCTGCCGCCGCCACGTTACGGCGGGGGCGTTCGCGAAGGAATGTGCCCAGGAGGCTTCAGACCCTCAGGGATTCCTCATCCGATGAGGGCAGCGGTGATATCCATGGCCAAGCCTCAGCTGGTGCTCGATTGGCTTCCAGACCTTGGATTCCTTCTCTCGAACTGCATGAGCATAAGCTTTCGACGGTCCACGCGGACTTCCTGGATCTGCGCTGGACCTCCCTCCCTGGTGCGCGGAGCGCGCCAGGAGCAGCGCCAGAGGCGCCGCCAAGGGGCCCCAGTGCCCATCCGAGAGGTCCGCGCGGAACGTCGACAGTGCCGTGCCGTCTCCTTCCATGACCCCACGGGCTCCTGATCCGATGCCTTCACCGTGTGGCCCCCCAGGGAATGGGGAACGAGGGAAGGGGGCAGCCAGATGTCTCACATGCCTCTCTTTCCCCCGGCCAGCGGGGGTCGGCGGACCCCATGGGCTCCTGTTCCGATGCCCCGATCCTCGAACCTCGATCCTCAACCCTCGAACCCCGATCCTCGAACCTCGAGCCTCAACCCTCGAACCCCGATCCTCGAGCCTCGACCCTCGATCCTCGATCCTCGAGCCTCGATCTTCGAGCCTCGATCCTCGAGCCGTGGCCCGCGTGTCAGGAGGCCAGTCCCCCCCCCCCCCCTCCTCGCGCCGTCCCCCCCCCCTGGGTGCGCGCGTCGCCCAGACAGGTGCGGCGCGCCGTGAGCCTGATGCTGGCTCGGGCCGCGCGACCGCGCCGCGCGGGGCTGGGGCTGATGGTGCGGGCCGGCAGCCGGTCCTCGGGAGCGGCGAGCGTGCCCACATCCGCCAAGGGTCCTTAGTGTTGGCCCCCCCCCTTTCTCTCGGCGGTGAACCTCCTCCTCCTCCTCCTCCTCCTCCTCCTCCTTCTCCTCCTCCTCCCTCTTCCTCCTGCTCCTTCTCCTCCTTCTTCTCCTCCCTCCTCCTCCTTCTCCTCCTTCTCCTTCCTCCTTCTCCTTCTCCTCCTGCTCCTTCTCCTTCTCCTCCTTCTCCTCCTTCTCCTTCTCACTGGTCCTAAAACCTCCTCCTCCTTCTCCTCCCCCTTCCTCCTCCGTAGTCGTAGTGGTCGTCGGCGTCGTCGTCGTTGCGCGGCGGGTGCGGCGGAACAAAAATGATCAGTTACCCCCAGTGAGACCGCGGAACTAATAATTTGTTACCCTCTAATTGGGGGGGTCTGAAGGTCTTTCAGGGTTATTCACGCTCTCGCGGTCTGGATTCCCAGACATGCTCGCGTCGTGGAAAAGTCAGGGCGGGATGTTTCTTTTGCAGGTTTCGACCCTTGGCCCTTACCGGTCCCCTGGGCCGTTAAAAAACGGCCCAGGACGAAAAGCAGGTCCTGGGGAATGGGTCGAGACTTCTGGGGGCCGATGTTTTCGAACAAAGTATGACGTCCGGGGTCTGGGAACGTATCCATATCCACGCCCTCGCGGCCTGGATTCTGAGGCGCGATCCCGCGGATACACGGTGGTACGGATACGTCCCGCGCGGGGCATCCGCGTGAAGACGCCCCGTATCCGCGGGGTCGTGGCCCGATGGTCCGGCTCGCGAGGCCGCGGATACAGATAAGTTCTTCGCCCACAGGTCCAGCGGGGCGGGCTCGGGGACGGGATCTTTCGACGAGAAGAGCATGCAGGCATGCCCGTCGGTGAAGGAGGAGGACCTCAGAGGAGGAAGAGATGCCGATACAGTTACCCTTCCCTCTTTTTCGCCTCTTTGGACCTATTGGGAGGGCCTCGTCGCCACGGCCGGATTCGCCTCGATATTCTGGTAGCCCTGGAGAGGTCCGTGGAGTCGCGGCATCGGTACCGTCTGGTTGCCCCAGGACCGTTTCAACGCTGCCGTGCGGAGGACACAGGTCAGGGGCGGTAACTTCAAGGGGGGACAGGCTCAGGAGAGGATGCATCGACCCCCAGTCGCCCAGGGATCGCCGATAGGGCCCTGATAGCCTACCACGCCCAGGAACTTGCGGATTCGCGGTCGGACCCTATCGCTGATCTATCGGCGATGTACCGCCGCTTCAAGCTCGATGTTCCCCCCCTCCTGATCCAGTCCTCCGCTAAAGTTTCCTCTCGACAGATGACGATGAGAGTTAACACCCCGCCACCAGAAGATGTGAGGTTTCTCCACCGGTTGGTGAAAAGCCGCGGATTCAGCATTGTAATCGCCTGCCTGATCATACTCAGCACAGTGATGATCGGTATCGAGACCCAGATGCTTTCTAGCCTGTCGAGCGGTGGGTCCAGCTCAGATCAGTTGATACATATTTTGTCGGCAATTAACTACGCACTCACTTTGTTGTTCACAGTGGAAATAGTAGCCCGACTGTACGTGTTCAGGCTTGACTTTTTCGTTCACGAAAGAGTGTGGAATATCTTTGACGTTCTCATCCTGCTGCTGGCGCTTGTCGAGATTGCCCTGGAGTTCGTGGTGCAAGCGTTATCTGGCAGCAAGGACGACATCTTTGACAGCGGTGGCTCGGCGAAGGTCCTGCGCCTCTTCCGCCTGACTCGGCTCCTTCGCCTCGTCCGAACGTTTCGTCAGCTCAAGCCCCTGCGGCTACTGCTGCACTCGCTGTACTGCGCCGGCAAGTCTGTGATCTGGGCGCTCTTGCTGCTTCTCGTGATCGTGTACTCGTTCGGCGTCATTCTGACTCAGGCGGTGACGGAGCACACTGAGGGCGGCACGCGAGTCGAGGACCGGGCATTGACAGAACGCACCCCTAGACAAGTCGACTGAGGAAGCCTGCACGGGTTCATTCGACATGGACATTCGAGTGTGCTGGTGCAGTTTGCAGTCGGTTTCGCTCATCGACGTGCGTCTCGCCGGATACGTTCAGTTGTTTGAGAACGTCGATTAGCCACCCCACTGGGGTACACTCTGAATGCGGTGCCGTGCGCACTTGGAGTGACCCTGGCAGCTTTCACTAAAGGCCGTATTGCTAAAGCGGTTTCTATCCACACCCGAGAGGACCAGAATTTGTTGGCTTACTACGGGGATCTTTATCGGTCAATGCTGAGCCTCTGGTGGGCTGTGTCTGGGGGTATCAGCTGGAACGAGCTCACCGTCCCGCTCGAGGCCACAGGCAACTCGCTGTGGGTAACGCTGTTCTTGGTTTACATTGCCTTCGTCTATTTTTTTATTTTGAACGTTGTCACCGGGGTGTCGAAGACGCCTCCGGCGAACCACCGCCGCCCATTGCCTTTTTGAAACGCCTATGTGACCAAACATGAAGGCGAAGTCTTGCGAAGTTATGGGGCTACGTTTCCCCCCAGCCGTTGTGGAAGTCCCTGGGGGAAAACTTGTGGGAGGAAGAGAGGGGGGAGGAGCAGGAGGAGGACCGGAGTAAACCCAAGAAGCATCGAGGATTTTGAAGCACACGCTCCCGTCCCAAGTCCTCTCACACGTCACCACAAGCCTCCCTTTCCGCTTCGAGAAGCGTCCCTTTGAGCGGCCAGCACCCGGTGGCCTGCCATTCTGGCGAGGGCCCCGCTTTGAAAAGGAGCTGACTGCCTTGCATCCTTCCAGCGAGTAATCCTCCTCCTCCTCCTCCTCCTCCTCCTCCTCCTCCTCCTCCTCCTTGCATCCTTCCAGCGAGTAAGAGGGAGCGGGCAAAGGTAGGACCAGAAAGTTCGAAGAGGTGCCCAGCGATATCCCCGCTTGTTTTTGCGACTGGCCGCCACAAGTGTTAACCTATAGCATTGGGTGTCGAAGAAGTCTCAAGCCACAGTCCCATTTCCCCCATCAGGCTTGCCTAAGGGATTCTTACTTGGTTGAAAGTTGGTGGCTCCTATTGTTAATTTGCCCCTTGCTCGGAGGTTCTTCGGGTTCCTCGGGTTCCTGCCCCAAGCGCCCCCAAGCAATGGCAAGCAAGGCTAAGCAATGCCGAGCACTGCGACCATCCAATAGGAAGCTTTCCCCTAATTGGGGTCGCGCCAGGTTCATTTGTACAGGTGCCGCCCTCCATGCGTGCTTCTGGTGAAGATGTCCCAGGTTCTAGTCTTACAGTTACAGAGCGAACGCACAATCTTGCAGCGGAACCGCCCTTCATCAGCACAGCCTTTGTGCATGTCAGGAAGATTTGCAGCGACAGCCCCACTTTGGCACTGAATCGTCACCAGTCCTTGTAACTACTGCAAGCCTTTGGCACAGAAGTGGGCGGCAACAAGGCGAGGATCCCGTTTTGAAAAGGAGCCGCCCTCAATCCTTGAACATATTGCAAACCTGTAAGACGAATGTGGGTGGCCCTACGGCGAGCGCCCCAATTTGAAAAGGATTCGCCCTCAATCTTCGAAGTTGTCGCAAATTTGTAAGACGAAGTTTCGCGGCCCTACGGCGAGAGCCCCATTTTGGAAAGGAACCGCCCCCCATCTGTGAAGCCCTGGCAAAGCTTACGACGGATGTGTGCGGTGCTACCTCATTTTGACCACGCCCCCTTCAATCCGTGAAAGCGCCGCGATATGTTACGACCAGTGCGCGCGGCGCTAAGGCGAGAGCTCCATTTTGATAACGGCCCCCCTTCATCCTTGAAGCTTCTGCGAACTTCAAGCTTCAGGACCCTAAGTGGTGAGGGAGTTTCAGGCGAAACGCCCGGCATGCCCTGCCGACACGTTTGATAATGCGATAGGAAAATGCTGCTTATCAGGACAATGGATGGAGGAGGAGGAGAAGGCAAATGAGGCCTCTTGTGGTCTCCTGGGGCCTCCTGAGGGCCTCTGTGGCCTCTTGGGGGCCTCTTGGGGGCCTCTCGAAGGCTGGTGGGGGGGGCTCTTAGGAGCTTCGTGGCTTTCGGAGGCAGTCTTTGGGGCCTCTCTGGGCCATTGTGGGGTCGTCTTTGGGTGATCTGGGGCCGACATGGGGCCCTTTTGGAGCAGTCTTGGGGTGGCTCTTGGGCCGTCTAGGGCCCCTCTTGGCCAGACTTAGTGCCCCTTGGGACCTTTGAGGCCGTCTTCGGCATAATTTGGAGGCCTCTGGGGCTGTCTCCGGATGTTGGAAGCCCGCAATGGCGAGAACGCGAAAACGATCGAACAGCCACCGGACAACCAGTGATTTTGGCCTTCTGGAGGACCTCTCGGAGCCCCCCTGGGCAATGTAGAGGGACTTTGGCCGTCTTGGGCCTGATTTGGGCCGTGTTTGAAGCATTCTGGGGCCATCCTAGTTTCTCTTGGGGCCATCTTGGCAGTCTTGGCAGCGTCTTGAGCCGTATTGGAGGCAGTGATAGGTCATCTTTGGATTGTTTATGGCATTTGCCCGTATATCTTGGGGCATCCGGGGCACTTCAGGGTAGTTATTTTGGAGGCATCGAGGGAAATATGTTCGGACAGGCACACAAGGCCCCCTCGCGTTCCCCCTTATGGGGCCCTTTGCAGGCCTCTTAGGCCGTCCTGGGGCAGTCAGTCTTGAGACCTCCTGCGCCATCTTGGAGCGTTGAACGCTCAAATCACTCAAAACCCGAAGCGGCCAACTGATTTGACTTCTTGGGTCCCTCCTTGGGGTCTTCTTAAGACTCTTGGGGCGTCTTGGGGGCTTCTTGGGCCGCCTGGAAGGCATCTTGGCCCGTCTTGGCGCCCACTTGGACCGACTCAGAATCCTGACGGACCGTCTTGGGCCTTCTTCGGACCCTGTTTGGCTGTCTTCGGGATCTCTGGCTCTCCGGGCTCAGGAGCAGTCAGGCGGCACACCCAAGGAGCCACACGGACAGCCCTGGAAATTCCTGCAACTCAAGGGTCTGCGCCCTTTTACCGAGGGTCGCGAGCAAGAGCGGGTGGATCGATCACCCACAGCGCCAGCCCGGCTGGCCGCCGACGCGCCGAGATGCAGATCGCCTGCTGCAAGGTGAGGGTCGCCATCATCGGCCGGTCTTTCGACCACACAAACGGCTTCCTGCGCTAGCAGGCGGCCTTCTTCCTGTCTCCACTCCAGAGTTAGGGTGATGACAGCCACCAGCTCTATATGTATCTCGAGCACCCCAAACGGAGAACTCAGCGGGACCTGAGGAGACTTCATCCTGTGCCCACGGCACACGGCACGGCGGCGGATTCTGTCAGAACGCTATCGAGGGTGCTCAACAAGACCTGGAGCTGACCATTGAAGCTCAGCTCAGGGAGAAGAACATGTACGCAAACCGCCTGAGGATGCTGTTCGGCGAGATGAACGAGTTCTCGCAGGATGTGAGCGAAGGGCTGACAGCAGCCGAGATCCACTTCCAGCTGGCCAAACCAAAGGTGCAGTCATGGTTCAAATTTGCAGAGGCCGCATTTCAGTTTGGCACACGTCACAGATTACATTAGGTAAGGGTCAGACCCTCGACTGCCGTGCCGCGACGCGGGGACAAGGATTGGGGATGTCGTGAAGGTTCCTGGTGGTCCCCAACGGCCTCCGAAGGGCCATCACGAGCTCCGACACCTTTGTCCTCGATGTTCGATCCTGCGGTCGATCCTCATGGCGGGAGGATGCGGCCCCTATCAAGTCCGCCTGCGCCTCGTCGAGAGACTCCGGGGGTTCCGCCACGCCCCGCGGCTCGGGCGGCGGAGGAGGGCCCCCCCTTCCACATCCACGGCCCCCGCGCGCTTCCTGGGATCACGGAGGCCCGTCACGTGTGTGACACCTCGCGTCCCGAGAGGCGCTGCCGGGAGAGCCGCCACACGAGGGACGGTCTGCCACGTCGTGTTCGGAGACTCTGGCCCTTCCTCTTCCCTCACCTCCTCGCGGCCTCGCAGGTCCTTTGCAGATTCGCAGCTTTTTGTATGCCTCGCAGTTCATATGCACGTCTGCATGTCTACGGGAGGCCATGGCCTCACCCACCTGGTCTTAGCAGGCCCGGACAGCTGTGCGATGTGGTGATTCGCTCGTTCGTTCGTTCTTCCCTTACCTCCTCTCTTGGGGCCTCTTGGGGGCCTTGCCGAGGCCTCTCGGGGGCGTGCTCGGGGCCTCCGGAGGCCTCTTATAGGGGGCTCCTTGGGCTGTCTTAGGGCGCTCTTGGGCAGTCTGGCGCTTTTGCAGTCCGTTCGGGGAGCCTTTCTGGACCGTCGTGGGGCTTTATTAGTGTCCTCAGTGGTCGCACTGGGTGTGTGTGTGTGTGTTATATCTATATGTATAAAGTATCGGAGGTTGGGGGGTGAGATCGCAGTGAAACGGAGACCCCCCACCGGGAAATCGGTTTCGGTTTCGTGTTTGTGTCGTGCGTGCGGGCGAGGCGAAGCTGCGCGTGATCGTCCTGTAGCTAGGCCGAAGTAGGAGCGAAAGTCCGTTCCCGTCCGCCGGTGGCTGGGAGGTGTCCCAGTTGGGCTGGGCGGTGTCCCGGATGTCCCAGGTGTCAGTAGGAGCGAAAGTCCGTGTCCCCTCCGCCGGTGGCCGGGAGGTGTCCCAGTTGGGCTGGGCGGTGTCCCGGGTGTCCCGGGCGTCCCGGCGCTAACGCATGTCACCAATTTCATAATTCATTGTTTTCGGCGCCTGCGAAGGGCTTCCTTAACCAGTCCAGCTTTTCTTATCCAATCCATCTTGTCCAATCGAATACATTGTATCTTATCCAACCCATCTTGCCCCATCTTATTTTATCCCACCCAATCCAATCCATCCAACCCAATCCATCAATTCATTTGTTTCTGCGCCTGCGGCGGGCCAATCCAATCCATTTTATATTTTCCAATCCATCTCTTCCAATCCAACCCATTCTATCTTATCCAATCCATCTTACCCCATCCAATCCAATCCACCCAACCCAATCCATGAATTCATTTTTGTCGGCCCCTGCGGCGGGCTCTCTTATACAATCCAGCTTGTCTTATCCAAATCATCTTGTTCAATACAATCCATATCATCTTATTCAACCCATCTTGTCCCATCCTATCTTATCCCACCCAATCCAATCCACCCAACCCAATCCATCAATTCACGTGTTTCTGCGCCTGCAGCGGGCCAATCCAATCCATCTTATATTATCAAATCCATCTCTTCCAATTCAACCCATCTTATCTGATCCAATTCATATCATCCCATCTAATCCAACCCACCCAACCCAATCCATCAATTCATGTTCGTCGCCCCTTGCGGCGGGTTTTCTTATCCAGTCCCGCTTATATTATCCAATCCATCTTGTTGAATCCAATCCATCTCATCGTATTCAACCCATATGGACCCATCTTATCGTATCCCACCCAATCCAATCCATCCAACCCAATCCAGCAATTCATGTGTTTCTGGGTTTGCGGCGGGCCAATCCAATCAATCTTTTTTGATCCAATCCATATTTTCCAATCCAACCCATCTTAAATTCTCCAATTCATCTTATCCAATCCAATCCACCCAACCCAATCCATCAATTCATTTTTGTCGGCGCCTGGGCGCGATCGCGGCAGAGTGCGAGGCTCGAGCGTTCGGATCCCTTGCCTTTCAGAAGCCGTAGAGAGAGGGCGAGAGAGAGAGAGTCGAGAGAGGGCGAGAGAGAGAGAGAGAGAGACAGAGCGTGATAGAGAGAGAGAGAGAGAGACAGAGAGAGAGAGAGAGAGAGAGAGACAGAGAGAAAGAGAGATATGATATCAATGTGACAGGCTGGAGAGGTCAGTCAGGGTGGGCATTTGATCTCAATCCCCCCTAAACCTCCTTATCGCCCGCTTTGCGGTCGTATAGGTGAAACCACATGTATATCTTGAGGCCTTCTTGGCGGCCTCTCGGGCCGTATTGGGGCAGTTCGGGGGGCATCCAGGGCAGTCTCGGGGCCAGTTTCGAGGCCTCTTGGGCAGTCTCGGGCCCGGAAAAATGGCGAGAACGCGAAATTCATCCGACAACAGAATTTGAAAAGTGTTTCGGTCCTCGTCGGGCCATCGTGGAGCTTCTCCTGGAACCCTCTTAGGCCGCGTCGGGGCATCATGGGCCGTCCTGAAGGCATGTTGGTCCATTTGGGGGCCCTCTTGAGAGCCATCTTTGAAATCCTGCACCCTTTGGAGAGCGCCAGGGACCAGGGAGGCATCGGGGCTCCCAACGCCTCTGGATATGTGTGGGGCGGTACCCACAAGAGTTACACGAATCCTACCATTCAAAACTTGGCATTCGACCACGCCTGGGGGCACGGTGGTGGATCCTGTCTGGCCAAGAGCACCGAGCAAGAGGCGGACGGAAGGAGGAAGGGAGGGCGGGGAGCAGGGGGGTGAGGGGGGGGAGAAGGATTGGGGAGGGGATCAGCCAGAAAGCGCGCGCACGCACCCCACCCCCTCATCAATATTGCGGGGGGCGGGATGCTCAAGTGCGCGCCCGCGCCGCCCGGGCTCCAGCACCCCCCACCCTTTTCCTCGCATGCGTCCGAAGGGGAGCCTCCTTCCTCGCCTCGGCCCCCGCGCGGCCCCCTCCAATGCGGCGGGGCGTCACGCGTCCCATCCGCGGACGTCTAGCTCCGCGACTGTTGGGCAGGAGTCTCGTGGTCTCGCTCCGCGACCAGGGCGGCACCTCGTTGCGCGACTGGGGGCTGCGCATCAGCGGGAGTCTCGCTCCGCGGCTGTGGGTGGGCCTCGCTCCGCCACTGCGGCCTATTCAGATCCTGCGGCTCGAGAGCCGCTTGGCAGCGTGTGGGTGAACGTCAGCACCCGTCTTGAGGTCAGGAACTTCGCCTTAGGGTGTCGCACCGCCGGTTCTGGCCCACCACGCTTCGGCGCCACACGCCATCCACGTCCCAGCCCCCAAGCGTCAACGTCTCGAGTTTTTCCCAGCCTCGCGCTCTGCGGAGCGGAGCCGCACGCCATCCGCTTGCAAGGCATAGCGTGCCGCCGGAGCCGCCGCCACGGCGCCATGCTGAGCACGGCTCGAAAGCCGTTTGGCAGCGCACGTGTGTGTGTGTGTGTGTGTGTGTGTGTGTGTGTGCGTGTGTGTGTGTGTGCGTGTGTGTGTGCGTGTGAATGTGAATGTGAATGTGAATGTGAATGTGAATGTGAATGTGAATGTGAGCACCCGTTTTGTAAGCACGGGTCGGTCAAGGCGCTCAAGCCCGCTTTGGTCTTGGACTCACGCCGCGCGCAGCTCCTCCGTGGGAGTGCACACGGATGCCGCCCCTCCTTGTCTGCGGGGCTCGGGCCTCGTCCCAGTATTGCCGCGCTGGCTTGTTTTGTCCCTGCTGCCCGAAGTGTTCATCCCATCTCCGCGACTGGGGATACCGAAAGGTACCGATACCGCTACTCCAGACCTCTCCCGCGGTGCGCTGTGACCACGATTTCGAGGCGAATCCAACGGTGGCGACAAGGGCTTCCCAGGATGCCGAATAAGGTGAGAACGGGCAAAGGGTACCCCGAATTTCGCAATGAAGGGTGGGGGGATCACAACCCTTCCAAACGAGCAACTTCAGACCAACCCCAGTCTGGCCATGAAAGGACGGCCTTTGACCCAGACCCCCCAGGACCCTCCAAGACTGCTCAAATCAGACACCCCACTAATCAGACCACACCCGTTTTATTTTTCAATTCGGAAGAAAAGTATTGATAGTTGTTCCTCCTCTGAGCGACGGCGATAGGGCGCGCGCGCGGGCGGGAGACTCGCGCGCGGAGAAGCTTCGTCGCATCGGCGCGGGCCTCGCTCCGCGACGGGCCCGGTGCGCCTCTTGAGGCACCCGTGGGCGGAGCCCGCCGCAGCTGTCGGCAGGCGGAGGTCTGGTGCAGCCAAGGCGCTGAAACCAGGGCCGCTTTGGGTTCGGAGGGGGGTCGGGGGTTCGCGGCGCTCCTTATCAGGAGCGAAAGAAGGACGTACATGTACATGAATCCACGCTGGTTTCGAGAGCACGCATTGCACAAATGTTCGTATAACGCGGCCGGTCTCGCGAATCGAGGGGCCGTGTTCATGTACATAGCTGGGCGCGTACGTCCTTTGTGGGCTCCCTACCTTAGACGTCGCCGCGCCGTTTGTTCCGACGCGCGGCCTTCCGTCTTGGGGAGAGCGCCGCGGGCACCTGGGCGAATTCCGCCGCGGGCGCGGCGGGATCGCCGTGGGCTTGCCGCGGTGCTGGTGTCGTCTATTTGGGGCGCGGGACGCAGGGTTTCGCTGTGGGTTTGCTGTGGTGTCGGCGTCGTCCACTTGGGCGCGTCGAGAAAACACGGCGCGGCGACAGATTTATGTCGCGGCGACAGATTGATGTCGCCAGATCTGCTTGTGGCCTCAGGCCAACCGTGGCCAGAAAGCCCCCTCCGTTCCTTATCTAGCGTTCCTGCTGGTAGCACCTCGAATTCAGGACCCTTCAGGAAACAGGATATTCCCGAGGAAGTCTTCAGAATCCCGAAAATTCCTGCACCCCCGGATTCCCTCGAGATTTATCGAAGATGCCCGCAGCGAATCGCCGCCGCCTCCTGCCTTCTGGAAGCGCCTGTGTAGCCGAATGTTCAGGCCAGAGCTCGTCCAAGCTATCGGACGATGTGTCCCCCCAGCCTACGTGGAAACCCTTCGGGGAACAAGTGAAGGAGGATGGGCGAGAGCATCAGGAGAGGGAGAAGGAGGAGGTGGAGAAGGAGGGGGGCCTCTGGGAGCCTTGGGGCACCCTTGGAGCCTCCAGGGATTATCCTGGGGGTCTCTTGGAGACCTCCAGCGGGCTTCCGTGTACCTCTTCAGGGGCCTTTGCGTCTGAGGGCGTTCCCGGCCCGTCTGACACCGTGGGAAGCCGTCTTATGGGGCCTCTCTGGGCCAACTCGGGGCCCGCTTCAGAGCCGCCAAGGAGGCCATTTTGGGCGTCTTGGAGGCCTCTTTGGCCGTTTTGGGGCACTCCTGGGGCCGTCTTGAAGGCCTCTTGATTCGCAGAAGTTGAAGGACGAGCGAAGCGAGCGTATGGGCGC